GTATCTACAACTGCAGATGATACCTGCTTCTAGTCTTTGGTCTTTTTAAAGTCAGACTTAGAGAGAGAGAGGGGACGACAGAGACAGATCTTTTCCATCATTGAATTCACTCCCCAAGGACCACGATAGCTGGGAATGGGCCAGGCTGACGTCAGGAGCCGGGAGCTTCATCTGGGTCTCCCACATGAGTAGCTGGGATCCAAGCATTTAAACCATCTTCAGCTTTTCCAGGTTATTAGCAGGGGCAGCTTAACTATCTATACCACAAAGGTCCCTCACATATGTTGTTAAAGTTACTTGTGGCTTTGTTTTATGCTTTGTTACAAATTCAGACAATCCATTTATATCTAAGTAAAAACAAGGGAAGATCAAAGTGTATTGAACCTGTTGTAAATAACTGCAATGCAGAATCTGATGCTGAGAATGTGTTGTTAGACTCGGGGTTGCCCTGCCTGGGCCCTTATGCACTCCTGAGTGGTGGGTGCCAGATCTGTGAGCCCAGGGAGTGCAGGTTCCAGTGGAGCCAGGGTCACCTAGCCTGGGTCCTTTGGCCCACCTGTATGGTGGGTGCCAGGTAGGTCCGTGAGGCCTGGGTGTGAGGGTCTTGAGGGGGTTTGGTGTATGGGGTTGCAGGGAGTCTGGGGGATAGCACAGATGGGGGCGTGTGGCAAAAAGAGGGCTCACGTTCAGGGTTGGTGGTCTGACCATGGAGTGCATGAGGCAGAACTGGGCCTCCTCAGAGGTAATGATGGAGCACTGGATGGAAGAACCATATGCACACAGAAGATATGGCAGCCCATTGGAGCCTGCAGAGGAAAGCTGGTACCATAGGGCAAAACAAACTGGATAACTTCCCCAAACCAGAGGTGCCAGCAAATATCTGGGCAAATGGAGACTCTTAGGTTGACTATGTCAGCCAATGGACATTGGCTTGACATTGGCCTGACATTGGCCTCATCCTTGAATCTGTGAGATTGACAGAATTTCAGAACTATCAAAACCACTCAAACAGAACTCTCAGAACGAGCTCCACATCAAGGAGGCTTGGTTGATATCGGGTGCCTGTTCCCCATTGCTGTGTACTGGGGTGGTTGGGAAGTTGAGTGGGGCTTCTCCCCTTATTTCTCCCTTCCCCCCAGGTACAGGAAGAAGAAAATTTGGAAACAATGCTCTCACCCACTTTTCCCTAACCCTCAGTCCTTCCCACGTTGTTCAATTATGCAAACATGGTCTATAAGACAAAAATAATTGTAATTTCATAATTTTTTTAAACTGTAGATAGGCCTGGCGCAGTAGACTAGCAGCTGAAGTCCTCGTCTTGCACATGCTGGGATCCCATATGGGCACTGGTTCTTATCCTGAGGGTCCTGCTTCCCATTCAGCTCCCTGCTTGTGGCCTGTGAAAACAGTCAAGAATGGCCCAAAGCCTTGGGACCCTGCACCTGCTTGGGAGACCCGGAAGAGGCGTCTGGCTCCTGGCTTCATACTGGCTCAACTCCAGCCATTGTGGCCATTTGGGGAGTGAATCATTGGATGGAAGATATTCCTGTCTCTCCTCCTCTCTATGTATCTGACTTTCCAATAAAAATAAATCTTAAAAAAATAACTATAGATATAGTAGAATTTGAGCCTTCACACTGGCATAAACTCCTCTGGCTAGACCCATTGTCATCCAGTCTGTACAGAGGTGGCAAAGCAGAATAAGCACAAAGTCTGGATGTGTTTGTTTAACAACAAATTTCCAAAATACTAACCCAGTATTTTCATTTTGCTTGAGTTGGGATGGAGGGGGTGGGCCTCTGGTCCCAGGCACTTGCAGTTCTGCATGGAGTGCTCCATGTCACCTGTCACCTGTCACCTGAGCCTTTCCAGGACGCTGCAGGCAAGGCCTGAAACGGGGCGTGGTTGGCTGGGACCAATAGGAGCGATGCGAGGGCGGGGCGTGGCCCCACGCGGTAGTCACGTGCTCCCGGCAGCCTGCGTGGTGCGGGTCCGGCCAGTAGGGCGGCGCCACTGGCGGGGCGGGCCGCCTCCTTGTGGCCCCGGGCGGCCGCGAGGACAGCGGGTCGTGGCGCGGGGCGCGCGGGTGTTCGGGGCGTGGCAGCCGGAGCGAGCGGGCGAGCCGGAGCGAGGGGCGGCGTCGGTGAGTTTCTGGCGGCCGAGCCGTGTCGCCGGGGTCCCGGGCTGGTGCTCGGGGAGCCCCAGGAGCGGCCGCGGTGGAGGGACGTGGGCTTCTCGAAGCGGCTGTGGGGACGGTGGTCCGGCAGGGTCGAGGCTCCGGGACGGCGCGCGGGGCTGGGGGCTTCTGGGCGGGAGGAAGGTGCGGGAGGTGGCCGAGCGGGGCGGTGTGTGCGGGCACGGCCCTGGGGCTCGGGTCTGTGCGCGCGCCGCGGGCACCTGCCTGGTCCTCAGCCGCGGCTCCCGGGACTCTCGGGCGTCCGTGGTAACTTTTCAGTTTCTGTGACGAGCAAGGACTGCCGCGCAGTGGGAGTCACGGGTTGCCCATGTGACCGCTTGTTTTCACTCTGTCCGTGCGGTTGGCCCACGAGCGTGAGGGAACGGCAGAGGGGACTCAAAGTGTGCATGGGCCAGCTGCGCTGCAGCCGCAGGAGAGAGTCGCTTATCCCGCGGCTAGGAGAGCGGCCGTCCTGATCTCAGTATTCATCTCATTAGAGAGCTGTTAACTGGGCGGAGAGTTGCAAGGTTGAACCTGTGGCTGATAGATTCTACAGGTGCGGCGAGCAAGCTTTTCTAACTAGTTCAGCATTAGCTTCAGAATGGGCGGTATGTTTTTCCTGAAAAATTGAAGGATTTCATTCAGAAATATGGAATATAAGATGCATTGTGAATAGCGGACTTGGAACATCTTGTGTTTATTGAACATGGTGGGAAGTACTTTATAGCTTTGTTTTGGGGTTTAACTCTTCCTCTTTTTTTTTTTAAGATTTAAAATTTTTATTGCAAAGTCAGATATACAGAGAGGAGGAGAGTCAGAAAGGAAGATCTTCCATCCGATGATTTATTCACCAACCACAGGAACTGAACCAATCCGAAGTCAGGAGCTCCAGGCTCTTCCACGTTTCCCACATGGATGCAGAGTCCCAAGGCTTTGGGCTATCCTCGACTGCTTTCCTAGGCCACAAGCAGGGAGCTGGATGGGAAGTGGAGTAGCCAGGACACGAAATGATGCCTATCTGGGATCTCGGCACACGCAAGGTGAATGTTTAACCAGTAGGCCATTCTGGGCCCAAAAGCAACTGATCTTTAAATAATTGACTACCTTTCCCCCTCCTTGAGGAGCATAGGACTTGAGCCATAGCTGTGGACTCGTTGCTCTGCATGTTGGCACATCAATGTTTTTAGAAGATTTTAACTTGAGGAGCCAGTGCTGTGGCCTGGCAGGCTAAGCCTCCCTTGTGGCACCAGTATTGCCAAGTGGGGACCTTTTTTAGTGGCAGCGGCCTCACTTCCAAACCAGCTCTCTGCTGTCGTGCCTGGAAAAGCATCAGAGGCTGTTTCAAGTCTTTGTACTCCTGCATGTTTGTCGGCGGAAGCTCCAGGCACCTGACTTCAGGCTGTGCCAGCTCTGGCTGCTGATGCCATTTGGGGAGTGATCCAATGGAGGTAGGAAGATCTTTGTCTCTCCTAGTCTCTCCATGAAACTGCCTTTCAGTTATTAAAAACCAAAACAACAAAACGAAGATCTTTGTTATCAGAAAAAAGATCTTAATTTGAAAGGCAGAATTGCTGGGAATGAGAGAGAGAGGCTGAGATCTTTCATCTGCTGGTTCACTCCTAAAATAGCAGGAAGGGGCTAGGCGGGGCCAGAGTGAAGCCAGGGGTCATAAGCTTAATGCAGGTCACCCATGTGTAGGGCAGTTGGTCAGGCACCTAGTTTTTCCTTTCCTGCTTGCCTGTGCCAGGTAGCAGGGAGCTGGATTGCAAGAGGGGTAGCTGGAACTAGACTCAGTGCCCATGTGGGATGCTGGCACCCAAGAAGATGTCTCCCTGATGTGCGGTGTCACCGTGCTGGTTCCCAGGAGCTCCCTTGTCTGTGAATCCCCTCCCCCTCCCATGCCATACCCACCCTCAAGCAGAAACTGGCTTGCTGTGTGTTTTGTGAGGGGCTCATTGGAGGGTTCTACAGATACTACAGCAACCAGTTTCGGGATGTGAGAAACTTTATTAGGACTTGTCCACCTAGTCTTGTGGACACTATAAATTTCTTCGGTCTCTGGAAAGTGCGTAGCGCGTCCTGTAGGACCTTGTCTTGCTGCTTGTGCTGCAGCTTGTTCTTGCCGTTGGTTTTCTTCAGATCTTCTTCTATAGACATTTGTTATAAAATGGTCAACTTTTCTTCTCACTCTGTGAGTGGCACAGTGCACTGCTTCTCTTTGTCTTCTGAAGCAGAAGGCTGTAACGCCCTTTTGTGTGTCTGCTGAGCTGGCCTCTCGAAGCTTTTCTGCGTTGCTTACCTGAGGCTACCTGTGGTTGAGTCCTTTCCATTGCCTTAGTGTGTAAAACTCGCCTCTCCTAGCTGTGCCTCTACTATGAGAATGGCATGAGGTGAGCCAGTATGTCGTCTTGGCTTGTTCATTGGTTTATTTTCTTGCCAACAAGTTGTGAGTTAAAAGTTGGCAGATGACATGTGGCCAAATCCAAATTTCTTCAAAATGTCCACTTGGACAGATAGGAAACAACTCACTCAGTAAACCTTCCAAGGTGTACTGAGGAAACAAAGTCCATTTTGATGATCAAGAAAGAGACAGCCTCATGTAAACATCAGCTCAGTGAAGCATGTAATAGATCTGTTCATGAGGTTCAGTGGTCAAGGAATGATCCTAAGTGCTGAGGGTGGTCTTTTGTGTGGAGGTGTTTGAGGTGTTGGAGTTGTATGTCCAATTCCCTGGTTGTTGGATGAGTCAAGGGGATGGTGGTGGGGGTGTTGAGACAGGGCTTCCTTACCAAGCTTGGGGAGCAAGTGGATTGTGGGGAGCAAGCTAGGCAGCCCTGACCTCTGTGTCATCTTGGTGTTTCAGGCTGTCTGGCTGGCTGTGTGGAGAGCGCCTGAGAGTTGGCTGCTGGCCGTGGGGGTCTCCTCCCTGGTCTTGGGTGTGCATTTGGTGTTTGGGTGCAGCCGGGCCCTGGGCATCTTGAACCCCTTGAGCCTGCCCTGGCAGTGGGGTGTGGGAATGCGGCCTTTGGCGCCCATAGGGTCTCTGCTGATAGCAGGGTGGGAGCCTTGGCCAGCCTTGTAGGTCAGCAAGGTGGGGCCTGGCCTTCCTAGGTGGGTCCTGGTCTTCCCAGGTGCTGTCAGAGCCCTCCGTGTCGCTGGTGAGGTGACCCTGTGGGAGATAGCGCCGAGGAGCCCTGCGTCGACGGCAGCTCAGGGAACGGCCCCTGTGGGCCAGGTATGTGCTGCCGCGCACTGCAGCTGCAATGGGGCCTGTGAAGTTGGAGGCCTGCATACCCTTCTGGCTCTGTACCACGTCGAACTCCACAGTCTTGCTGTCTCCTAGACTTGGTAGGTACTTCCTGGGCTTGCGGTTTTGAATGGTGGTCTGGTGGTCAAAGAAGTCTTTTGTATCATGTTGGCTGATGAAGCCATATCTGGTCTTCATGTTGTACCATTTTATGGTTCCTTGAACCTTGGTGTTGATCAGCTTCTTGTCACCCTTTGTGGAAGGCTTGTGCTTGGGGTTGGAGGGCAACTGCTGCTGGATCTCGGTGTCGGCTTTGGCCTTGCCTCTCGGGGTGTTGGTGCAGGTGACCAGGGCCAACTGTGTCATCATGGGCTGCTCCCCCCAGGGCATCGGTGTCCCCGGGCCAGCAGCATTGGAGGTGGTCCCTGTTGCACTCCTGGCTGAACATTTCTTGTAAGCTCTGCAGTGAGCTCTGCAGAACCTGTTCCTGCAGGTGTTTCTGTTGCATGGCCAGCAGCATTGCATCTTTCTCCTGCTGGAACACTAGGATCTGCTTCAGAATGGCTTCTGTGGCACTGAAGAGCTTCTGGGATTGGTCCTCTTTTTCTTTCAGCAGCCGCTCACGAGTGCAGAGCTCCTCCCTGAGTGAATGGGCAGCGAACTCATCCTCTGCACAGGATGTCATCCTCACTGTGTTGGAGTCTTTGAGTGTCGCCTTTTCCTGAGCTGTGTCAGGTCTCATCTCCTGTTCCTGTGTCTTTTGCTGAATCTCCTTCTGCAGTGTTGACACGGCCTCTTCTAATTGGGTCGCAGATTGCTTTAAGATCCGATTCTCCTCCTCTTTCTGGACAAGGGTGTCCTGGAGCGTGCGTAACTGCTGAGTTTTGTGTCTGAGAACCAGTCCTTTCCCATGTACTAGCTTCTCTAGTGTCTGTTGCTTCTTCCTCATTTCCTCGAGTGTTGAAGAGTTTTGGTCGTGTTGGGTCTCCAGTGTCATGGTGTCAGTCATGGAGCCTGAGAGTTTTCTCACGGTTTGCCGTAAAGTGTTATTTTCCTTCTCTTTGTCTGCAAGACTCTTGTTGAGAGATCGTAGCTGCTTCGTTTTGGCATTCATGAAAAGATCTTTGCCTTTCAGTAACTTCTGCAAGTACTCCTGTTTGTCCTTCAGTTGCTTGATCTCCAGAGCCATTTGGTTGCATTCCATCTCCAATGTGGTGTCAGTCTTTGAAGAATCCATTGTGTGTCTTTCTTCCAGGAGGAGCGTGGCTGTGGCTTGTCTTGCTGTGAGTGATGCTTTTGGCTTCTTGGTGGCTCCTTTGAGGTGTTCAAAAGACTCACTCAGGGTCCCAGGTTCCGTGAGCTGTGGAGACTCTTGTGCGAATTGTCTCCTGTTGGAGGCCTCTGGAGAACCTTGGAGGTGTCTTAGCCAATCTTCTTTGGTTGGAGAAAGGTGTTCAAGTGTCTCCAGGACTTGGCCAGATTCCTCCTTGAATTCTGTGGCTGTGACGTTAGTATCGATGAGGTTGTGTGCCAAGTCGGTGTCACTTGATTCCTGGTCAATGTGATGTGTGGTATCAAGAAACCACTCCGAGTCACTTAGTTTCATCATGGTCTGTTTCAGCGTCTCATTTTCCTCCTGTATCTTTGCCAGGTGGTTCTGCAGAGAGCTCAGTTTCTTCTTTTTGGCTGTCCAAAAGAGCTCTTTGCCTTTCATTAGCTTGTGTAGCTCCTGTTGTTTCTTCTTGAGTTGTTTGAGCTCAAGTGACAGTTGGTGGTGTTGTGTCTCCAGCTGTGTGGCCTTTGCCATGTCCTGAGGTAGTGTGTGGATCCACTCCTGGAGGAGCCTGATGGTTTCTTCTTTGGTGGCTAGTGATATCTTGAGCTTTTCATTCTCTTGGAGGAGCCACTGAGGAGGCTCACGGCAGGCCACAGGTTTTGTTTCCTCAGGAAAGGTCAGCTTGTTGGAGGCCTCTGGTAGAGGTGCTGGTGCTCTGAGGAGATCCTCTCTGGTGGAAAAGCACCCAACCGTTTGCAAGGGCCAGGCCACTTCCTTTCTGAGCTTTCCAGTTTTTGTTTTATCATCTCCGTCGTGATGGGTGGAGTCGGTGCTAAAGAGTTCAGATTCAATTCTGAATTCATCCAGCTGTTTCGGGAAAGCCTGTGGATGGGCAGTGTGCTGGTTGGCGTGCAGCTCCCATGTCTGACAGCATGTTTCCAGGTCTGTGGAGAGACTTGACAGCATGTCCTCTTCACATCCTTGGAGGTGCTTCCTCCACACACCTTTTACAGGTATTCTGTGAAATAGCTGCTGGTGTCCTTTGCCTGTCACAGGCAGTGGCCTAGCCTGGTGCCTACGCCACGGATCCCTAAGGACTTGGCTGAGGGTCCCTGAGAGAGCTTCAGAGAGCATCCAGCTCAGTTGGACAGTCCCACAAAGTGTCGCCAGACCAGTATGTGCTGGGTCTTATATAGGCAGCTCACAATGGGCGTTGGTTAGCAACAAACTGTTGCCTGGAGGTGCCTGGAATTCGGGCACAGGCCTCACCCTGCCCTGCCCCTCCAGAGCCCACTGGTCCCTTCACCCTTTTGGCTCCGCTTCCCCAGCACGTGTGTACAAGTGTTGTTATGAAAAATACAGGGCCTTCCGGTGCTCCCTCCTGCATTTCCTGTGCTGCAGTTCTACCCAGTGTCAGATCACTGCCCAAGTGCAGCTTGCTGCTCCAGTTTGCTCTGGGAGGCAACTGGTGATGGCTCAAGTGTTTGAATGACTGTCCCCATGGAGGCAGTGCAGCTTGGAGTTCCTGGCTTCTGCCTGCTCTGTAGCAGGATTTGGGAGGTGAACCCTTAGCAGATGCCCGCTGGTACTCTCTCTGTTGTGCTGTTGAAATAAGTAAAAGTAACTAAAACAACAGCAGCAAAACAACAACAACAAAGTGACATAAAATACAAATTCTTGTGTACACTCTTGAGGAATACTCAGTTTCCATGAGCTTTCTGAAGATTGTATGCATTTGTGTGTGAGTGTGTATTAGTTAAATGAGTTTAAGAATCAGTGTGGTTGGGGTCACACCTGGGGCCTTGTGAATCAAGCTGGCACCTGGGTGCAGGCCTCCCTTTTGGGTGGTGATTTGTCTTGACTGTTCTGCTATTGATACAGATCCTGCTTATACACTTGGGAAAGCAGTGGCAGATGGGCCAAATCCTTGGGTCTCTGCTCTCCATGTGGGAGAGCAGAGGATGTTCCTGGCTCCTGGCTTGGATGAGCCCTAGCCGCTGTGGCCATTTGGGGAGTCAACTAACAGATGGAAACATGTTCTCTCTGTCTCTCCCTCTCTCTCTCCCCAGCTCTGCCTTTCCAAGAAATAAAAAGAGATAATCAGCCTGGTTGATTGAGGGGCCAACAAATCCTGTTTGGCTTTCTTATATGATGTATGCCAGTTTAACTTCCTTGCCTGCTCTTGGTGCAGCAAGCAAGGTGGACTGCTGAAGGAAAAAAGAAACTCCAGTCCTCTGGGACATTGTCTCTCCCAGAGCCTTCTGCTCTTAGCTTGTAGCTCCTGAGAGTGTAGATTTCTTGACAATGATTTTGAATATTTGATCAAACATGGAGAAGTTTGTTTTGAGGAATGGGCTTAGATGAATATGTAGGTCTTAAACATTTTTAAGAATACAAATTAACATGTAACGTTTTGTTTTGTGACTTAATTCCTAAAATGTTTTGACTTGAACCTTTTACAGTGGGTTGATAAGCTACGTTTGACTCATCATCTCATTATGTTAGAAGGAACTTGTGTTTGGCAAGTAAGTGTTTGTTTCGTATGATTTGTTACATAGGCTCGGGTAAAAAGATTTTTCAAAATTTAAAAATGATCATGCCAAGAAGTGGCCTTTTTTCTCTGCTTGAAACACCATTCTTTTCTGCAAAACTTTTGTTAGGTTCCAGAAATCCAGGCAGTGCAGAAATCCACAGTGCAGCCCATGTTCTCTGGGATAATGGTGCTAAGAGCCTCTTTCGAGTTGGCTTGGAGGGAATGGTAAGTCATGCAGACAGAAGCAGTGTTGGCTAGATAAAGGAATGGACATCATAGCCTTATTGTGCTCTTTATGCTTGTATCATTTCCTTCTGTTGTAATACAGTCATCTGAATCTGGAGTGTGCAAAAGGAAGGCGCTTGGTAAAGTGAGAACTTCATTCCCCCTCAAGACCTTTGCAGTCTGTGGCTATGTCCTTCTAGTGACTTTGTAGTGAAAATAATTTTTGGAGTCCATTAGTGTCTACTGATTGTGTACAGCTGATGTCTTCCTCAGTGTCCGTCTGGGGGGGATTTACTTACTTAAATCTAGCCATGCGATCTAGCAGCATTGGGAAGAACATTCCTTGGAGTAAGTACATGGCTTGGTGTTTTCATCACAGCTTCAAGATGGGAGTGCTTGGTTTGAGTGCCAGCGACTCTGCCTCGGATCCAGTTTTCTAAAGATGTATATACTGTGGGAAGCAGCACAGGGTGGCTCAGGTGGGTTGGACCTTGCCACCAATGTTTTCAGCCTGGCCCATCCCAGCTTAGTACAGCCATTTGGGAGTGATCCCGTAGATGGGAGATCACCGTCTCTCTGCTTTTCCACTGAAGACTGGGAAATAAGAAGGAAGACCACTTGTTGACATAGACCTGGAAATGAGCACAGTACGGTTGATCATATATTTCTGTTGTATGTTTTGAGAGCTTGTACAAATTAGGGTAGGTACTAGAATTATGTTTAAGGAGATTTTTCATAAAGACTTTTAAAAATGATTTAAAAACTTTTATTTATAGGAAAGTTTGACAGAGAAGTGGAGGCAGAGATCTTCCAGTCTGTCAGTCGCTCTCCATGTGGCTGCCCGGCTTGCTTGAGCTGTGCTGATACAAAGCCAGGAGCCAGGAGCTTCCTGCAGGTCACCTCTGTGTGTCCAGTTTCCCAAGGCTTTGGACCTGTTGCTTTCCCAAGCCATAAGCAGGAAGCTGGAAGGAAATTAAAGCCCCCAGGTCAGCAACTGGTGCCCTTACCTGATGCTAGCATTTGTAAGGCGGAGGATTAGCTAGTCTCACCATTGTATCAGTCACTTAAACAAATATTTTACTTTCCAATTTTTGTCATCATCACTTGTCAGTGTTTTACTATTTTAATTTTGCCTGTGTTTCAAAATTTTCATTTCTTTTTTTT